CTTTCATCTTATTAGTAGTGAAGTATGAGCATCAAATGCATTTACTTTGCCTCTTTCAAGAGTTCACACAATGGACTTTCAGTGCTCTTTATACTATCAAAAGGAGACTCCTTAGACATTTTATATTTAGTTAAATTAGAAAGCCAATGTCCTGGGGCAGTTTCTGTTAGTTCTAATCTGATCACATTGTCTGCCTCAGCTTAACAAGCATTCTTCCTCTCCCTATTCATCTACTTACTCTTCCAAATCCCAGTTTTGTCCAAATTGAAGAGTCTTTATTTAGCTGGCAAGCTGGTGACTGCCCCTCACAGGACCCATGATTTCTCTGCAAGGAACAGCCCTGAGCCTGAGTGTTTTAGGATATTTATAGGCAAAACCCACAAAACCCACATCCAGGTTGATGTAGCTGCAAGCAAGCAGGTACAGAAGCTGAACTGGCAGATAGGGAGACAATGCAGTGGGTACTTAGTATTTCCCATGGGACTTTCTGGGTTGGCTTGGCAGCAAGCAAGCAGAAAGGAAGTGGGTCAAAATAACCATAGTTGAGTCCAAGTTGGAGAATGGGTATTAATGTCTAGACAATCTCTGACAAGGTACATTGTCCAAGAAAAACAGAAACCCAAGAGAACAATTTTAAATTGTATAAGAATTTTGTGTTGCCAAGTAAACTATGCTAGGCAATTATTAATGGTACAGAGGTGGAACTTTGCTATGAGAGAAGCAGTTCTTACATGATATGGAGTCTTAGGGTAAAATGGAGTCTGTTTGGTCATTGCCCATATAGCCTGGCCCATAATACCAATTCTAAAACCTACAAAACCAATTAAGAAAAATTGTCCTTATAACTGTTTCTCTAGCAACACTCCTGGTACAAAAATCAGTATTAGTCAGGGTTCTCCAGAGTAACAGAAAAAATAGAATACATATGAAATTATAAAAGGAGATTTATTAGATTGGCTTACATGGTAAGAGGCTGAATAGCTGAATAGTTCCATGATGGCTATGACCAGGAAAAAAAGCCAAAGAAACCGGTAACTGATCAGTCCAAGAATATAGAACACTCAGAACAATAAGGGCTAATGATGTAGCTCTAATCCAGGGCTGAAGGTTTGAAAACCCCCTAGAAAGTCCATGGTACAAGTCCACATTCAATGTTTTAAAAGAGTCTGGCTGTAGGAACAGATGAGGCAAGATACCAAAGACAGCAGGAAGCAGATTTATTGTTTATTTATGGTTGCAACCAGGTTCAGATGGAAAAGCTTTCTATGTAAACAATTAATCCCTCTGAACTCCAAGTTTAAGCAGTTTCAGAACTTTATACCCAGTGTGTAGGAGGAGAGACTCAGATGTTCACAATCTGCAGAAGTTCACACAAAAGC